AAAGCTCAACATGATTACACATAAGGACATAAGTACTGAAAAACACTGAAGTATTTAGTTATGTGCGTTGGCAACACTGATGCGAGGGAAAAAACCGGTGCACGGTAGTTACCGGTCCGGCCGCCAAACGCCGTGGGCGCTGCAGTTCCCGCGCTGCTGCGACCTGCGACAGTGCTGCCACCACAGAGCAGAGAGTCGAGTCGAGACAGACTACTTTCTCTCTCCCTAGTGTCGTCTGCTAGAGTAGTCGACCTCGCTCGGGGTGTTGGAGGAATGACGATTGTAGATAGAGTGACGTTATGAATTGAATGCCTCTAGAGAGTCCAGTTCCAGTACGACCGATTTATTACAAAACTGTAGTTTTTAATACAAGAATTGGATTACCGCTAGTTATATACATAATGAAAATAACCCTAACGAAAGTTGATTAACAAAATATCGGTGATTTATCTTGTTTTGTTATTAGTTGTGTTATTATTGACGTATATTTCAATTTGTAAACGTTCTTTTTAACACCCTAAGACTTCTTTGTTTAAAACAAAAGTTAGACACCCATTAATTTCTCGCGTATAGGTATTTGAAAATGTGATACTTGGATGGTTGGTGTGTGCCCGTGCCGTTGCCGTTGACCCTAGCTGTCCTGGGTCATCGGCCCCACACCACTGTCAGTGTCGCACCAGCACAGCACACTGCACAGGCCGGCCACACTACACCACCACTATAACACGCAAATTGTATCGACATTCAAATCATAGTAGGATCAGAGTTACAAGGTCATTAAGCCGTCAGTTTGAGATGTCTCCAATTGAAATACTGAGTCAGACATTTCTAGAACTAAGGCCCTCGCCCACTATACGATTTCGGTCGTACGACACTGTGTCGGAACGACAACATTTCAACAGTGAACCATTGGCTCTTATGAGAGCTCGCCCACTGTACGATAATCTCAAGACTACGACAGACTGTCGTGAAGCAGTCGTCCACTGCCACTGTGATACACGACTGTCGTACGACTGTGTAACTCAACTCGCAGTGGTGTGTATGATCAAATGGGCGCTCGCCCACTATACGATTTTTATCGTATGTCGTGCGTTCTCGTTCTCCCCAAGTCCTAGTTCTAGTTCGCCCTGAGCCTTCTCGCTGTTCACTTCGCATGACTTTCGCTAATTTAAGTTTTGTAATTTAAAATGGTGTTTTCGTCTTTTTAAATTGTTTTTTTTTGCACAATTTTGATCATGCATACATTTTTTACAATTAATTCATACTTGTATATTTTTTGTTTATGTTTGATATATCGCTTAGTTTTTGTCTTTTTCAGCCAACATTTTGCGTGGTTTTGATCTTGTGTGTATTCCTGACAGTTCGTTCATATTTTTTCTTTTAATGTACTGCATTACTTATAAGTAAATATTTTTAAAAAAATAATAAAACAATGCGACTTTATTATTCTTTAATTTTTGTATAACCATTGTTATTAATTATATTGTGTTAAATAGTTTGTCTAAAATACCTAAGTATTAGTTTTTGCAGATTATATTTTTAAACAAATAGTATTAATATTTAAAAACAATACAAAACATGTTCGAACATACAAACCTATGACGAAGACCATCCCAAAACCTGTAAAAGCTACTATATAACAAACATTAGTAAAGTTAAAAACTTGTTAAATGGCACGGACTCGTATAATTTTGAAATGTCTTTAAATAGGAACATTAACTTAACATTAACCTACATTAACTTAAGAAATAATCTACACATAAAAAAAATAATTACTTTTTTAATGATGTAGCCCCACATTGACCACTTCCAACAAAAAGTATCAAATATATAATATAATCTTACTAACCTCAACGTAATAGCTAGACTTTCTTTAGAAGTGATGCAGTTCCTCAGTTTAGTATTTTGGTAAACAATTGTAGCTGTTATTTTCTGGTGTAATTCATCAAAGTACGCAGCAGACATTCTGAAGTAGTTGAAAAACTTGTTATCATCACGCCGAAGTTCGTCAAAAAGAGTTTGAAATGATCCTGTGTGTTCCCTACTTTAATTAATAGGGTGAATCCAATACTTCCGCTTAATCCTACGACTCTTAATTCTGCGCCATAGCAGCCACATATCAACAACACGTAACGGATCCATTGTTTGACAAAAAAAAACATTGTTAAGATTTGCGCAACACACTCACTCCTCCACGGCTACCGAGCAACTGGTCATTTATCCGATAAAGTGTCATATAGTGGACAAGGACCAAACATACGATAAGAATATCGTACGACACAGTGTCGTACGACTGAAATCGTATAGTGGGCGAGAGGCCTAAGGGTGTCCACAATCTACTAAACTCATACGAATATGAACTTTTATTTTATCCATTTGAAAGTTTATTTTGCATTTTATTTTTAAACCTGTGCCTTGTAAATAGGTTTTGAGTGTTTTTCTCTTTTTTTATCTTGCAACTTTACACAGACTTAAAAATAATATATTTTTCTAAACACAATCAACTTTTCTAAATATTTATGTTGATGGAGGGTGTGTGAGGTGTGAGCAGCTGGTATCCAGGGTCAGAGATGAGACATATCAGGCCAAGGACTCTGGACATGACACAAGAAACACCTTTCTGTTTGCTATACATAAACTTTTTTGGCTCTGTGAAAAATATTTCAATATAAACAATATGATAAGGTATATAAATTTTACTTTTTGAAGCCATCTCAATTGCATTGAAATACTAGTCATTGGTTTGCATTGGAGAAAGGTCTTGAAAGAAAAAGGTTTGGATCTTAAGCATTAATCTTCTTCAATTTCATTACAATATTCCAACTGATGTGTGGAAACTGGGACTGGCATACAAAGTGTGAGGCATCATGATAAGGGGATTACTGAATAACTAAAACAGTTTCAACACTGTAGAAGGATATTGTAAGGTAACAAAATAATTTTATCAATGTAAAGCCATGTCCAAAAGTAGGACTATAAATTCTGACCTCTTTCTATATTAAAAATTGTAATCCTCTAATCACACTGCAGGTCACATAGCTTTCTTACTGAAATTTGTAGAGTACAAATATTTTGTATTAGTAGGCCTACTTGATTGATTCGCTAGTTTTAGATCTACAGGGTAATTAAAAAAGAATGGTGCAAAACTAAACGGTTGGTACATCTGTTTCCGTGATTTCAAATAGCTGATTGATACACCAATAGAAAGAGCGTGTTTATAAGTTTGTTTCGACAAGGTTATGTTTTGTCTCAGGTGCTTAATAATTGTGTACCAAGAAGCCTGTCAACAAAATCAAAGAATATCAACAAGAATCAAAGCTATCTTGGCAAAAATGTTTGCGTTTTGGCTTGTCAGTAAGCTTTAATGCATGTAATAACTGCAGTTTGTAAGCGGTTTTGTCTTAAACACTTGAGTAAACTGTGGACTGTGGTACCGGTATGTGAAGTTCCCTAACTGCTTTGACTGTCGAGGTTTTTGGACTCCGCGCAAACATAGCTTTGATTCTATCCACAGCGTCTGGTGGAGACTGAGGACGGCACAAACTTTTCCCGGCACACAAACATCCAGTTGTCTTGAATTGCCTCATCCAACGATCTATGCAGTTCCAGTGAGGAGCCTCCTTCCTAAATTTGGTCCAAATGTTCCACTGAACACTACCAATAGCATTAGTACGAGAAAATTCTAAAACTTAAAATGATTTTCCTTGTTTTATAGAAGGTGTTTGTTGGCAGGCTTAGACATTCCATCCCCATGTTAAATTTGTAGTTTTTTTAGCGAATTTCCCTATAGGGAAGTAGCTATTACCGTAGGTGGCACGGTAAGACCTAGACCCGGGACCGATTAACTTTTTCATTTTGATGTCTCCAGAGGCCAAAAACACCATTCGTTCAAATTTTTATATATGTATATAAATTATATACGTCCGTGAACGCGATAACTTGAGTAATTTTTGTCCGATTTTGATGAAATTTGGTTTAAAGGTGTAAAGCGGGATAAACTTGAATGAGTTCGCGAACCAGCACGATCGGACCATGGGAACGGGGCTTTACGGGGGGTTTTATGGAGTAAAAATTGTTTTTTCTCACTTTTGACCCTCAAAACACAAAATTTCCCGATTTCTCTTTAGAAAAGAGCTTAAAAAAACCAAATAATTTAGTATATGAAAGTATTTTTGTTTGATTATTAGTAACGGAGAAAATTAAAAAAAAATTGTAAATTTAAATTTCCCATGTTATTCTTATGGAGAATATTGTCAAATGTTGTAGTTTGCTTGTTTATGGATATATTTTGATCAAACTTGGCAAATTTATTTATTTTGTACTAAGCTATCAATATTTTACTGAAAAACACACGTTATTAGTTTCCTTGTGTAGCAGCAAACCTAGGTACTCGTTAAACCTAATGTTATTAAAATATATTTAACTGAAAATCAATTCAGACAAATGGGAATTCGCTTAGTCGGCAGGTTTGCTGCGGCGGGGGTATTTTTAAATAAAATCGTCATAGTTGATTTGAGCCACCGACAGATTTTGCTGGTCTCAATTACTGATTTCTGTCAAACACACAATTTCTTTGACCAATTCAAACTGATGGAAAGACTTACTGTGAGCTATAGCAATTGTTATGACCCATCAAATTGGCCAGCAACAAAAAATAAGGTAGAAAATAGAGTTTTAGTCCCTAGTGCATTCTGTGACTGGCTTACACAACTAGGTTCTTTTTTTTAATTGGTTACATTTGGTCCATATAGAAGGGACATCTACTTCAGTATCCAAAAGTCAATGGTGGTACTCTATTAAGCTACTGAGACAAAACATTACCTTGTGAAAAAAAAACTTATAAACACACCTTTTCCATTGGTTTAGCAATCAGCTGTTTGAAATCATGGAAACGGATGTACCAACTGTTTAGTTTTGCACCATTATTTTTGTCACCCTATATTATGAATGGATTTTACTTTTATTTCCATGAATAACCATTAATTCTCCTGTTGTTATAGAAGGGGATCAAGGTTCGTGGGAGAGTGGCCTGTCCTATGAATGTAGATCACTTCTCTTCAAAGCTCTCCATAATCTCATTGAAAGGTAATTTTTAGTTTTAAAGACAAAGAATTTACTGTTTTTATATGACAGTTGTGTTATTCAGTTAATGGTTTAGGTTTGTAATTAACTTTTACTTAAATGCATTACTTATTGATAGTACTATACACTTGATGGTTGGAAATTCATATGCTTTTTGAGCACTTATCACCTTAACAGAATCTTTAATACGGTACATCATTCTTAGTTTAAGACGTTTAAGGTTTAATTAAGTTTCTGCATAGAGATGGTACATAGAACTAATGAATAAAGACAAATTTCAGTTTGGACATTCATTACGGGGTCTTGTTTCTTGGACATTAGTTCAAATAAGCTAAACCTTAGATTTATGCTATCGTATCATCATTGCCACTTTAATTTGAGTCTTCTGTACAGAAAATAAGGGGAGTGCCCCATTGAATGATTGTTTTGTAAAAAATTCATATTAAGCTTTGTTTTGCATTGTCTACCACAGATTGTCTTGAAAGTAACTTTGGTGCCTATTTGAATGCACCCTGTTGCTGGTGTCAATCATTGATTTTTTAAACACAAACAAAATTAATGTTCCAACCAGAATTCTTTTTGTCAATAGTTCAAATAATAATTTCTTTCCATCTTCAAGCTATAGTGTTTCCTACAAGGTTGTTTGTTCTTGTCATGGTTATTTGATTATTGATGGGAACTGCAATATATTATATGTATTTCACAGTGAACCAGTTAAGGTACAATTCATAAGACATTTAAGATCAGAATCCTAATTGGCCATTTACTACATCACAACTTAGGGTATAACCAGTGAATTACTGTTTCGGCCATTTAGATTTAGATAAGTTTTTTTGAATGTTGAGTTTGATGTTTTCTGATCGATTAAGTGATTGCCAGGAAACGCAAAATCTGATCAGAAACCGTGTGCATAAACACACTAGAATTTGAAGGCAGCTCAAAAGTTACAGTAATTTAATATGTATGAAAAGTGGTAAATCATTAGAATCTACATTTTAATGATCCTGAAATGGTAATTCTAATTAAATATAGGGTGTCCAGCTTTGATGTAAAAATATTGAACAGGTTATTTGGTAAAAACTAGGGAGGTAAAATACAATTTTGAGTGTTGAATAAATGAATAATATGTCACCATTCTCTGGTGCAATGCTTTAGGTGTGATAAATTACATTTTTCAACACTGCATTAAGTTTTATCATTAGGAAGTACAGGAGAATACGGACTTGACGTTGAAACGATTCTTTACACTGTAGCTTTTAATAGCCTACTTTCCCATGTTGGATACAAGTAGAAACTCAAGCTAAAACGACAATTCATTGGTGCCCTCACCATATCACTGTTGAATTGTATTAGATTAATACAATTGTTTATATTTTTGGTGAAATTGTTGTCTTAAATAGATGCTGTTAAAAAGCTGGACAATTCAATATTTTGGTAAATGCCAAGCTAGTATTTTGAATGTTTAGAATAGTAGCAGCATAGCATTGTGTACAATTAATTGTTTTTATTCCATTTGGACAGTCCGGTTCATAATATTATTTGACATTTTTCTTGCAGGTGTTTGCTGTCACGAGATTTTGTTCGGTTGGGCAAATGGTTTGTGCAACCTTATGACGGATCAGAGAAGATGCAGGAAAAAAGGTAGATTTTATTTTGGTTTGCTTGTAGTCTTGAACAGGGTAATTTAGTTGCTTATCTCTAGTAAAGATTTATAAAACTATAAATAGATGTTATCAATTTAGCTTTATTAATAAACTATTTGGACAAAGCATGTAGTTAAAGGATGTTTGATTATCTATTCATTCATGCGGCAAAATCTACTTCCAATAAGTTGAAACAAGCAATACATTCAATGTGGTCTAAAAATAGGTGTTTAGATATAACCTTTATTCTTTAAACTCAATTATACTTATATTGAACAATAAAAAAATAAAAATAAAACTGTTCAATGTGATAAAGATTTGACAAAAATACAGAAAAAGATTATCAACCTAAGCATTAGGCCTAGCAAAATTGTATATAGATATTTGGCAAGTACAACAAACAAGTTACAATATAGTTTGATTTTTACATAAAATTTCATGTATCTCGTTTGTTATAGTGGCCACTTGTCTTTCTCGTTTGCGTTCTTCGTCCATGGGGAGAGCACAGTGTGCGCCAGTGTGGACGTGCGCCAACATCACCCAGTGCGGACGTTGATTCGAGCACACCTGCAGCAGGCACAGGCTTGTCTACACTCCGGCTCAGGAGTCAGAGGTCAGTCTAAGCAAGACGCCTCAGGGTATTTTTATTGCATTCCTAAACCATCTTCTGTGATTCACTGGGTTAGCTGTATTATCATTTCAATAGGAGTCTGCGGGACAGGACGGGACAGTTAAGTTTTTGATTACTTTGGAAAATATGTTTAATGCATATATTGTACCTCGGTTCTCTGTACAGAATCAATACGGTACACGACTACCAATGTTTTTGCCATTTTCTTCTCGGGATGTGTTTAAACCATTATTTTGATTTTTAACATTGTCATTACTATGAAGATGGATATTATCCTTACATTATTTATGGTTTTAAAACAACAATTACAGTGTCTGTACCACACATTAATAAAACCTTTTACTGTACTTCTAACAAAATTGAGTCAAGAAAAAAACACAGTTGAGATAAAGGCTTTACCTATTTTACTACTAAGATAAGTCATAGCCATGATAAAGCGGTTTTAACCCTTTGCGGTCGCATTTATCGTTCACTTTTCCTTCCCTACAGATCGGGAAGGCCACACTTAGTGGCCCTCTCCATTTTGTTTAATGACACGTCATTGTCAGTGCTGAAGGCAGCCCCACAGCTTGGGCCTACGCAATTTCTGTTCAGCTTGGCTGGGCACCCCATAGTGGCCCCTTGTTTCTCTTCATAATATTTAACATTGTAATTTTGTTTTCGATTCTCTTCACTTGGGAGGTGCTGTGCTCCCTCGACAATCATAGGAACTATCTGGAGGCAACAAAAAGCTGTTGTTTTATAAGCCTACTAGCTGTAACCCCCGGGCTTTGCCCCGTTTAACTTCTTAATTTTCAAGATGATCTCGTTCGCATGGCTCAATCACGTCCTGGTTGAAGTTCGTTCGCTACGCTCACTCACCTTAAGGTTGGAGCTCGTTCGCTGCGCTCACTCACCTTTAGGTTGGAGCTCGTTCGCTGTGCTCACTCACCTTTAGGTTGGAGCTCGTACGCTGCGCTCACTTGCCTTCGGGTTAGCTCGTTCGCTACGCTCACTTGCCTTCAGGTTAGCTCGTTCGCTACGCTAACTCGCCTCCAGGTTGAAGTTCGTTCGCTACGCTCACTCACCTTTAGGTTGGAGCTCGTTCGCTACGCTCACTCACCTTTAGGTTGGAGCTCGTTTGCTGCGCTCACTTGCCTTCGGGTTAGCTTGTTCGCTACGCTCACTTGCCTTCAGGTTAGCTCGTTCGCTACGCTAACTCGCCTCCAGGTTGAAGTTCGTTCGATACGCTCACTCACCTTTTGGTTGCAAATTAGCTGTTGTCATGAATGTAAAAGAAATAATAGTGCTGCCACCCGGTTGGTAATCCTGTTAACTTTAATGCTATTGAACATCATAGAACAGAACCAACTTGTTTAATTGAAACAGCTGTTAAGATTCATTAATTCCATTTCTCATAAGGTTAAAATGGGAAACTCCAGAGCCACTGGGGCGGAGCCGATTGGACGTTTCGTGGCAATCGGTTCAGCGGTGTCTGAGTTTATCACTGCCAAACAAACAAATATATATATATATATATATATATATATATATATACTAGCTGTGTGCCCGTTCTACGCACGGGGATCTTATCATAGTCAGTTAAAACCTTCTTATATAAAGCACAGCAGTTGGTTTGCATACTTTCAGATATGCTGACAAAACTATTACTTCGATATTAAATGTCACCCGGATCTTGTTGGTCCATATGTTATATCCAATGATTAAACTAAATAAACGGTATCAGCATTCTGACACATACTTTCTCCCATAAGTTTGTCAACAACCTTTATCATGTGTAAGCGGTGAGAGTAAATATACGGAAATGGGATTTGTACAATTTTGTTCAGAATTTAAAGGACTATAACATAATGGTTAAAAGTATTTAAGGTACTACCTCAACCTCTTAATTTAACACTTTATTCGGGTTGACATTTTCATTATCAAGGCGCTCTTGTCCTTTCCGTGAAACATTGAGAAACAAGGACATTAATGCGTTACCATCATACATACACACAAAAATACCGAACTTAATTAGGGAATCTGCTACGCTTTAAGGTACATATAAAAAGGTACATATAAAATTAGTACTTGAAATCTTTGTTAATGCCATAAAATTTGATCATAACAATTTATATTTGCTTGGACCGGAGATGACTCGAAATTCTGTCGAAATGCTATCTGAATCGGTTTGCTATATGAAATGAAGTACAGTAGGCCTACTATAGACGATTTAGATTGGTAATTTGTAATAAAAATTACCAAAATAGGCCACGAACTATTGATACATAAACAACGTTCAAAGTGTTTGAACAATTCATGATGGTTTGCTGAATAAATGTTTTACTAAAATGCGTTATAGTTTTCTTAGCATAACATTTTGGAATCCAGACAGAAAAAGCAAAAATTATACAGTTAAGACATCAATTAAATTGAATAGGCCTACGCCTGTAATAAATAAGGTGCAACACCAACGATAACTAATTTGTAAATTACTGTGATGTGTTGGTACGTAAAAATGATTCTTGCTGCTACTAAAGGTTAAAAGGAAAAGAACCAGTACCGTACCAAAAACCAACGTTTACAGTTAAGAACTGTAGTACAGCCGACCAATTATATGCGTTAATCAAGGTTATTGATCTCTTGGTTTTGGATTTTCTCGTAAAAAGTTATCGGCAATCAAAGTTATTTCCCATTAATTGCTTTATTTGTATACAACTCTTAATGTAAACTTATCGGTGTCAGTTTGAAAAAAAACCTTATACAACATAACTTTCTGTTATTTAATAGATTACGTATTCTCTAAACAATGGTTGCTGGTATATATATTAACATTATAAGGAAATGTGACAAAAATCACACAACGTTGGGTTTTTGGACGTTTATAATTTTATTTCTTAAGTACCTAGGTAGGCCGTGTATTCTATGGAAAAGTACCATTATCAAGGATCGTTGTCGAAAGGGTTGTTATAAATAATTGGGTAAGCATACGTACCACACGTACCCAAGAGAAGGGCTATGGGCCTATTGGCTGTATGGTCCAGCGATTGCATCACACGGTGAGTAGGAACTATTGACTTTATATAGTCAATGGTAGGAACAGAAAGTGACACATTGGAAAATCGAGTTCAGCATCATCCGTAAACCTCTGTTACAATCACCCACTGCAGTTGTAATTTTTTGCTTTACACTTTACACAACCGCCATTGAAGAGCCGTCAATGAGTGGAACATTGTTTCTAAGCTATTGGCGACGTTCATTAGTAAATTTAAGTTTCCCAGCCGTATACAACACTGATTCAATCTTGATTCAATGTCTTCTTTCTGGTTATCAAAACTCCAAAACAATTTTATACACATATTTCTGGTTCCTGACCTGGATGATGCCTAGTTATTTAATTTACGGTTACACTATATTATTCCACTTGCGATTAATTAAATCCTTTATGTAATAAAAACGTTTTTAATCTCACTTGGATGGGATTTGCCTTCAAAACGTGATCGGAAATGGTTGTGGTGTTTGTAAACAACATTTGTAAACATTTCAGTGACAGCTAGAAAAAATAATCTTGATCCGAACAGCTGTTCGTTGTTTCAAAGATGATTATGTGATACAAATTGGAAGAAAACTTTACAAAAATCGCACAAAACTGCATTTTTGAACGTCCGTAATTTTAATTACAAAGTAGTGAGACCATATTTTAATGGCTAAAGACACTCTCGATAATCCAGTGAATACATTAAAATGACTTGGGTCTTGATAGATACTCTCGTTTTCCTGGAGAAGATTGCGTAAAATGCCATCTTGAGTGTGTCAGACAGACAGACAGACAGACAGACAGACAGACAGACAGACAGACAGACAGAAATTTAGATGAGACTTGTTTCGGCTTCTTTAATGTATAAAACGTAAAAATAACCTAAAAATTTATGATTCTGAGCAATGTACAGACAAAACTCTAATTTTATTTATATAGATATATATACAAACATCCTCTTTTATTTATACTTATAGATAACTATATTATAACGCTTTTCCTTAGAGAGTTTTCAGTTGATGTTATGCAATTGCCCTTTTAAAGCCTTTTAATTTGTAATTATTTGTTATTTATTGTTTTAAATGGCCTCAAATAGAGACCTAACATATGATACTATACGGGATTTTAAAAAAGTTCAGAAGATGAGGATCTTATAATTTTGTTTGAGTTTTAAGCTGAAGAGGAAGATCAGCATTCCATTTTAATGGTTTTGATACTCAAAACTACATCATATTAGGGATGGACGGGATTGAATTTTTAGTTCGGGACGGGACAGGATTTTTTCCTGTGCATAAAAAGAAAGTATTGAGTATGGCAGTAACCAAAAAAGACAAACAAAATCAATGTTTACCATTTGTGGCACTGATCTATAAAAACAAAAAAATGGTTTAGTTACAACAATCTACATGTACCTATAGAAACTTGTGACTCACGGTCACGGGGTGATCGTTGGCATGACTCGCAGTCACGGCATGTTCGTCGGTATGAATCCGCGGTCACGGGGTGAAGTATGACTCGTGGTCACGGAGTGATCGTCGGTATGACTCGCATTTACGGCATGATCGTCGTTTTGACTCCGCATTCACAGGGTGATCGTCGGTATGACTCAGGGTCACGGTATGATCGTCACTATGACTCACGGTCACGGCATGAGCATCGGTATGACTCCGCGGCCACGGCGCGATCATCGTTTTGACTCCACATTCACGGGGTAATCGTTGGTACGACTCAGGGTCACGGCATGATAGTCGGTATGACTCGCGGCCACGGCAGGAGCGTTGGTATGACTCAGCGGTCACAGGGTAATCGTCGGTATGACTCCCTGCGGTCACAGGGTGATCATCCCTATGACTCAGGGTCACGGCATGATTGTTGTTTTGACTCCGCGGTCACGGGGTGATCGTCGGTATGACTCCGCGGTCACGGCATGATAGTCGGTATGACTCGCGGCCACGGCAGGAGCGTCGGTATGACTCGCGATCACGGCACTATGGTTGGTATGACTCAGCGGTCACAGGGTAATCGTCGGTGTGACTCCACGGTCACGGCGCGATCACAGAACATCTCTTGCGAAAGTGGTATTATCGTCACTCGCGTAGCGGCAAAATCGCCGAATCGGATCAAATCCCGCCCCGAAAAATTCCTGAATCAAATGTAATCCCGTCCCAAAAATCGGAAATATTTTTCCCGAAAATTTCCTGAAATTTCGGGACCCGTCCATCCCTACTTCATATTATTTTGTTTTAAGTACTAAGCTTTGAAATTAATATTATATATTAGCTATACTCTTCCTAATTATCACCAAACTCATATAATGCTGATAATATGCACAATACTGTACAATCTATATTATTATTTTTTTATATTATTAGTGTTTATATATTATTTATATATTATTAGTTTTATAAATATTGACAAAACTCTTATCTATGTACATTGTACTCCAAAAGATGTTATGAGTTAATAAATCATTTGAATTTGAATTCTATATTATTAATACGCTACATTCAACTTTTTTAGCAATAAGGCTTTTTTGTTTTAAGATTTCACAAGATTACATATTATTAGAGATGGTCAAGTCTCGAAATTTTGGGAAATTTTTGGGAAATTTTAAATCTCGTTACACGAGACGAGATTTCTTTTTGGCCGACACTTTTATCGAGACGAGAATAAAAAAAAAAAATTAAAAAAAAAATATCAAAAACGCCTGCAGAAAGTCAATGCAATACCCGCAATACAGGAGCGTGTTGTAGTTGCGTTTCCTTTGCGAAGGCATTCTTATTTAATTTATTCTATAAATGTAAATATTACTTTAATTATTTTAATAATATTACTTTAATAACATTTGAGAAGTTTTGTTAAGTGTAAGCAGTGTGAGGAATGTTTTATTACTATAAAAAGTCAAAACAAGTAACTATTTTAGAAAAATTAATATTGCTTTTATTTTATGATTTATTTTATTTTAGGATAAGTTGAACTCTATCCTAACTGATATCACTATGTTTCCTAATCGTAGGCATTTTTAATAAGTTAGGCGTGATTAATAAAAAAATGTTATGCTGATGTTTTTTAATAAAAGATTGTAAATATTCTTGCCTATTATCATTATTTTTGTATTTAAACAGTCATCTAACAATGTTACAAAATCAGGTAAAAATTTTGAACGTGCATTTCCCGTTGTGTATGAGAAAGGAAATCCCGTCTCGATCTCGTCTCGAAATTTTATGAGAAATAAAAAATCTCGTCTCGTCTCGAACTAAAAATTCAATCTCGTCCATCCCTACATATTATATATCAAAATGTTCGTCTATGTGTGTAGATTTGTACCAAAAGATGTGTACATCTATGAAAACTGAAAAAAAATTCTTTAACCACTAATTGTACATGGTATAATTTTACCCGGGCAAAGCTGGGTTTTGCTGCTAGTAATCATAATCACTTATAAAATCTATTAGGATTTGTAGTTTTTAGCGTTTTTCCCAATAGGGAAGTAGCTAATTTGCCTTAGGTGGCACGGTAAAATCTTGACCCGGGACCAATTTGCTTTTTCATTTTGATGTCCCCAGAGGCCAAAAACACCATTCGTTCAAATTTTTATACATGCATATATATATATATGTACTAGCAGTTACCCGGCGGGCGTTGCTGCGTTAACAACTATTATTTTAATAATAAAAATGTATAGGTATGGTATATGGTACCACAAATATAAATATAATATTTATTTTACTTAATTGCCAGTGGATAAACAATATTTTTGTTTTTTTCATTGGGTGTGTATGTATAAGTTTTGAGACGTACCTACCATGACGTGAGCATGCAACATGTACATCCGTGTGAAAAGCATGCATTTTATAAATTCAAACCGGCGATAGTCAGGGATTGCCCTTAATGGTGATTGCGAAAGCATGACACAAAGGAAATTGTAGTCGCTTGAATTCAAAGGGTAATTCGGATGAAATTTGAAATTTTACAAGACTAGACACGGGCTCGAAGTACATCCTCCAAGGAGACTCGATCTTTAAGGAGGGGTATGTTTCATAAAGGCTGCAAATAAAACATGTGTTTTATTTAAATTATTATGATCAGATGTAAACAAATATTGTTATTGTTTTTTACTTCTTACAAAGACATGTTTAAAAATAAAGTCTTATTTAATTAGACAATAGACAATAGACAAAATCTTTATTGAAATATTCCTAGAGAACATTCATGCGTCAGGTTCATTTAGTTCATTTCTTATTTAATTCTTGTCACGCCAACTATCACGGCTGTGATACAGGCGCTTTGGTCCAAAGTAACGTGCACACTCTTAAATCAGGGGAGCCACCACAATCTGGATATTCTGTATGACAGGCTCCCGTTATGATGGTTAGAACCGATGTTGGTGCACCTATTTTACATAAATCAAACCATCTGAGCTTTAATACCACAAAACAACTGAACCAACTTTAAACTGTTATTTTGTTGTTGTTTGATTAGTGAAAAGTGATGTAGTTTCATGTGTGCATGAGTAAAATATTAACAGTTTATTTTTGGAAAATTTCACTTCCAGTTGTATTAAAGGTAGATCCTACATTTCTGGTTAATTAATATTAAGCTTATTAAAATACAGTAGGGTTTTAGGTTACCAGTATATGTTTAAATGCAGTTTATTATTGTAAGTGTTTATGGCTATTTGGGTTTCTACTTTCTAGTCCTTATTACCTTCGATTTTCTTTGGATAATTATCATTTGTTTGTAATACTTCTAGTACAGGCCAATTTGCTGAAATTTTACACAGTTAAAAGGTTGTTTTTTTGTGAATTGGTATAATTAAAAAAATATTTAAATGATTAGGAAATAATCCAGAAAAAATGGCTCACAACAACTGCTTAACATTTGATTCAAGTTTTTTTAAAGTAGGTCTGTCATCAAAACATTAGAAAAAAACTTACTTTCAGTTAGAATTTGTTGCTGAATTGATGTGTTCCAATGGCGGCTGTCTTCAAATTATCCGTTGCTTTGTTCGGCACAATTTTACAACCTAGTGAGAGGACCTGTTAAGTAGAGCATATTTGATTGCAGTGATCCTGGCACCATTTGGTCTGGCTGGCACCCTGACTGGACAGTCCTTCAAGACCCTGGACTTGCAGACCCAGAGACTGATGGACGACTGGAAACACTTTTACCCGACGCGGGACGTAGCAGACATGCCTCCCGCTGTTGAAGTTATTGTCGGTGAGCCTTGTCTCTACACTTAGTTTTTGTGTTTTAATGTACGTTTTGCTTGAGATTACCGATACAACCATCTTTCAACTACAGTTGCAGAGTGCTTTGTTTAAGGCCTGCTTTGTGGTTAAGGCCTATTCACACCGGCATAGCCAGATGTTTGAAGATGTATTTGGGGTATTAATTCTTCGCCCCTGCCAGGTTCACACCACAGCTACGTCTGGCGGCTACCGCTTTTTCCCCTCCCCACCCTGCCAGTGCCACACTACATAATTATTCATCATGTTGAGTTACGCATCCCAAAGATCTAAATGGATCCATCCAATTAATCGAAGAAGACGTATCTCAAATTAATATTTTCCATCAAATCAATGTAAACACTTTGTTATACCATAATACAAAAAGGCATCTATACTTTTAAATAGTTTTTGTAATGCTTGGGATCCTTCCTTTTTAGTTATTATTACAATAGATGGCTTTGAATTCACAACAACTGCTCACGTCTGGCTTCCCACCATCTAACCCACAAAATTTGTATTTTATTTATTTGATTTTGGGGTTTTTACGTAGGTTTAACAAAGTTATTTATCGATTTTGACACAACAATCAAATTAAAATGACAGTGTAAATGGTAAAACATGTTAATTTAGTATTTAAATAACTTCTTGATCAGCATTGTATGCGATATTAAATTTACGGAAAGTAAGTTAAAGAAGATTGGAGTGTCCAATCGAAATCGATCACCACTTAAAAACCATCTTTTTTGTATATTTACCGTCTTGTAAGTTACAGTATAGGCGTAAATATATGTTTTTAAGTGTTATTAGACGTTTCTTTTATTTACTTTTTCCGTAAATTTAGTATTTCACACAATAATTTTTCATAGTACATTACCTAAAAAATATATGAAAGAACTGTGTAATACCGGCTTTATGAATGATGTTGGAAAGTTTTTTAGATTGTATTACAGGTATGTATAGGAAACATGGTGATATTAGTTAGGAGATAGTTCAACTTTGAAAAATACAAAATTTATCGGTCTGAACCATCAGGCTTACTGGTTAAGTATTAATTTACAACAGTAGAACTTTGAAAAATACCAAATGTGACAGTCTAAAACATCAGTCTTACTAGTTAAGTATCAAGTACTGTAACAATTTTTCAGTCTCGTGTTATTTTTAGAATAATTTTGGAGTGATTTGTTTTGGCTGTGTTGACAGTAGTAACATCCCACTGCTTATTGCTTACACTTAACACAACTTCTCATCATTTTCAATGTCCAAACAAAAAATAATACAAGTAAAGTAATATCCGTAAAGTATTAAATAAGAGCGCCTTCACAAAGGAAATGCAACAACAACACACTCCAGTATTTCAGGTCTTCCATTGACTTTCTGCAGGCGTTTTTAACTGTTTTTTTTTATATTATATATATATATATAATCTCGTCTCAAAAAAATTTCAATCATAGTAAAATCTGGTATTGTAGAACACAATTTAAATTTCCCGATATCAACATAAATTAAATTTAGGACAAAAAAAACTAAATTATTTGACGTTATTTTGCCAATAATGAAAAATTGTGGGTTTCATTAATTTTTCAAAATAACCTTTATTCAGTCTTATTTTTAATGTAGACTCCTCAGCTAGATGATATTTTACTAGCTTATTTTTATATTTATATGGCTACTGCTATACTATACACTTATTTTGTCATTCAATTTAATTCAATTCAAAGAAGATACCTTATTCACAGATATACAAAAGTATACATGATTGGCGTTCAGAACTAGATACATTACATAATAACTTTCGATAGAAAACTGATGTATATTTAAATAAATAGTCATGAGCCAATATTTATTTAAATGAACTTAAAAACTGAAAAATTCCTCAAAACTGTATAGCATACAGCTCAGGAACATAAGTGAGAACACAGTATTAGTTATATTAGTTAAGGTCCATACAGTAGATACAGACAGTAACAAGTGGATGTCCCACAGGTGGTGTTAAGCTGCGGTACCCCTCATGCTATGTCCTAGTTTCTGATATGGATGAGACTACATCTGCCCTCATCAATACTCAACCAGGAGGGATCAAGTCTAACCTACCTTATATGGGTATGTTGCTATGTAATAATCGTTCACATTTTGTTAAAGATTTGTTTAATCTGTTTTGGGTACAACTGTTTTACTAAGAAATTATGAGGGTTGTCCATGAATTAAAGAGTCTCCATTGAGCAACTGTCACGGCCAAGGGAGTACCCTAAGATTAAAATATGAGTTCACCGTCGTTAACATTGGAGGTGAATCTCATCCTTATAGGATGATTAGTCTTGTCAAAGCATCTGAAAATGTTGTGAAGGAAAATGAAATACTCCTGCCTTGTATGATTCACATTCAGGTTAGGTTTCCAAGGGATGAAGGTTAGTTCCGATTTAAATCTGTTGACAGGTTGCTATGCAGAAAAGTGTTGGTTAGAAAATGTTCATAAGGGGCTTAGGAAGTTTGCAGTAGGCCGTACACATTTGAAAATTTAGGTTGGCTGCGGTCTTCATCAGTTTCTATTGAGGCAATGATTTAAGTTTAAGATTGATTGCTTGCTTGTCATTGTTTTAACCCAATAGCTTATTGAAATTGCATTACAGTATCTTATTATACAGAAATTCCATTATTGGCCCTTCATGTACTTGCTAAAATTTTTATACCTAACCTACTTATTTTTTTAAACTTATATTGGCTAGTTGGAATGTATTATTGTTTTTGTACAACATACATTTTTTCCTTACTTGACATATTACCTCAAAATACCTAATATAAAGACATAAAGTGGTTTGTGTAGTATAACCAATCTATTAATAAAATATGGTAATGAAATAAATAAAAAATAAATGGTACCAGTATGGAGAATTGAGAATCGATATCAAGAATGGATCAATTTTCGTATAGACTAATCACTAAAAAAATCACGAAAAAAAACAAAACAACATAAGTTGCACTGTATCAAAGTGATACACACAGATTTTTAATGGGGTATTTCACACTGTATTGAATTGATACAACTCAGAAGATGTGCACTGGGCAAGGTAAAGTTTCAGCACTGGCTGTTTCGGGCTAGAGAAGGGGGCGCCCATTAAAGGAGATAACGATAGGCGCACGCACAACGAAATGGCAGCAGAAAAGGTTGTTGCTTACCGACAGAGGTTTAACTTGTGATCTTTGTATGTTGCAGCAGGTCTGACAGTGAGTGTGGTGGGACAGCACCAACAACACCCGGAGTGTATGGTGCATGCGTCTACACCATCCACTGTATTGCCAGAGAGAGTGTGGCAGGACTCCACCATCAGTCTGACCTCAGGGCCACCCAGCCCCCCGCCAGACATGCCACCGACTCCCGCCCACTGGGACTTCCAGGACCCCACCCGCAAGCAGCTATGCTCCTGCCCAAAGTAAGCAGTATAGGCCTACTCAACATGTGTGTTGTTTTGCAAGGAATAAACCACAATATAAAATGTGTAGAGATGGGCCGATACCAAAAATTGTCGATACCGATACCGATACCACCAAAGTACTCTCGATACCTATCGATACCGATACTTCCGATACCTATCTATTTTGCACAGTTTCTTCCACTAATAATATTATAAACTGTTATACCATAAAAAAACACAATATGTATGTGTATCAAACTTATATTTTGGTGTTAAAGGTTTATTATTAATTGCAAAAAAACAATTGCAAAAATATGGAACTAAGTGTTTATTTTAAAATAGGCCTACTGTAAATGTTTGAATTTGACTAAAGCATGAGATCTAATAAAGTTTCCTCTAATTTATAAATAGGCTTATATAAGTATTTATCTGTCATTTGTCAGTTTTTGTATTTATTTGAAATTGCATCAATTGTCTTAGTTAACTCATTAAGCTATAAATAAAAAAAAAAATTACGTACATCTTGGCCTACAAAATACTCTGTAAGTTTTTTCCCTAAGAGAGTAAAAACAAACTTCCTATATAATGACAGTTTTTCACTAGTTGTATGAAAAACAGTTATATATCTTCAAAATTTGTTTAACTATGAAAAAGTCACCAAGTCTAGCTGAAATCACATTCATAAATGAGGATATTTTTGAAATACAGAATAACTAATCAAACAACCTTTTTATTTTTAACACTTATTTCTTGACTTTTCTTCCTTGAAAATGTCAACAGTTTTTCACTTATTTTTAATAAAGATTATCACTTATTATTTCTCGAAAGAAATCTACGTGTGAGCTATGATGAGCAGACAAGAGACATACGTCACTGCCACAAAAACTATTCTCTACTGTGAATGAATGAACTGAGTGTTTATTAGTGTGAAGCCCCGCCCACCGTCTAACGGGACATGGGGTAGGAAAAGAGAAAGTTTGCTCTAAAGCCTGGTTCACATTAGAGGTGTGCGGATAGTGAAATTTCATTTCGGATCGGATTCGGATCGGATAGTTGAGGCTCGGTTCGGATCGGATCGGATATTGGGAGGTTCGGATTCGGATATTTTCGGATTCAGATAGTTCGGCGCGGTTAATAATAAGCTGCATATCTATTTTAACCTATAAAACAATGTAAAGCTGTGTAAATAAACTTAAATGACGATTTTGAATTATAGAATTTCAAATTAGCCACGTCCACAGTTTTCTCTCTTGAAAATCACAATTCACAACATTTATTTTCAAAAGTTGGTTGCTTGAATTAAGTAGACTAGCAGCCAAAATCGTCACACAACACTTTAGCTCAGCAGGACTGATGTCAAACGTTTGGGCTTGTTTACTTGAGGTTATGTTTTATGTTGTTTCCTGGTTCTCACAAGACAAGGAGTTCTATCTGAAGTTTATTTTCACATTGTGTTTCCTTACGTTTTTGGAACGATTATTGGCCTTAAGTGGCATTTTGGGGTTTGCCAAGTTTAGAAAACATCACTAATGCACTAAGCTGGGCTCTAGCTCACGATTTGATGTTGGGCAATTAGGCTTTATAACTTTGTAATAGGTGTGTATTCCTGAATTTATAAATTTCATTCTACACTTATTCACTGCCAAACATAATTCAATAGAACCTTGATGAACCGAGAATTACACTAGCCTACATAACTTCATTACCCCAAGTAAAATACCAAGATAATTTTTAAAATTTTATTTGAATCGTATAATCTTAGTTTGTTAAAAATGGATTGTATGTTTAACAATTGCAGTCCATTATTGTTATGCAGTATGGTCCCAAATTATTGTTTTTGATTTTGAAACATCACAGTTCATTTGACAAAATTATAGTTGAAGCAGCCCAAGGTCAAGTCACGCTTGTGCAATAGTTTTTTTACAATCTTTCTCCAGACCACTGGGGAGGGTTGGGTCTGATAAGCCGTCTATTGTTCACCCCCAAGGCGGTTCGACCCTCCTTAGTGCCACTCGGCTGCACTCAGTGGGGAACCCAATACCACAAATCAATCTTTTAAATGAATAAAAATATTTGGTAATAATTGTTTTATTGATATTCACCTTGAAATTTCAATAAATTTGGTGTAAAATTTGACAAAAAACGGCCATTTTGACCAATTATTAATACAGTACCAAATACCAATAAAGTACATCCGATTTTTGTCACGTTTTACCCCCTACTGTACGCTATGTCACAGAAGCTGATAACGACATGGGTGATTAGTAACCATGGCAACTTTTGAATGCGTGATGAAGGGAAACCCAAGAAATAGAAGAACAAAGAGAAAGAATAATGACGTTGTTATCTTTATACCCTTTTTAAAATTTCTGTTATTGTTATCTTTATGTAAGATTTTATGATTTTGTTAAAATAATTCTTTTTAAACACGGGAATATCAATTTATAATTTATCATCGTGCTCATCTTCTGAAACAGCAATACCGGATGCATAATAAAGGTCAATGACCTAAAATATCACGATTGTGCAATATTGTATTTTGATGTTGAAATTCAAATCATGACAAAAGTTTGTATATATCCATGGTCCCTATCGTTTAGTCATTTAATATGTACACAATCAATGCTAAATAATCGTGGTTAATTCTAACTTTATTTTTTATTATTCAAAGTTTCTACACAATAAGACAATCCAAAGTCAAACGGGGCAATGAATACCCAAAAAACAACGTATCTTGTCCTGTGTTTGGGATACCACTCGCCGGCGAGTCCTTTAGGTTTGGGGAAGTAGTGCAAGTGTATATATAGCTTCAAGGTCTTACCCACCCCTACCCCCCTCCGGTCCTACTTGACTCACTACCCGCACTCCTTTCGAGGTCATTGCCCAACCCCTCCCACCCTTCTATTGTGTTGCCTTTCTTTTTGTTTCTATTCTGACTTTTTTTCGGGAAACATTAAATCTATTTTTTACGTAACATCACAGTGGTAGGCTAGATTTTTCTACTTTGAAACAGTACTGTAAAAAAAAAAAAACTATTATGCATAGCGCCCCTAGTATCAGGAGACAAGCAAGAGTTGACCATGGTAGTTCTTTTCTGCTTTATGTCTGTTCGTTCCAGACGAATCTAATCCTAAAGCAAAACAGCTGATAACGACTAAACTAGTTATCGGTATTGCATCATACGGCTTCTTTGTCGTTTGCTGTTAGGTCGTTGGAAACGTATTGCTGTAATTTTGTCCTGGGAAACTAATGATGGTTATGAAGATTTAGTTTTCTGTCCAAAACGTCAAAATATGTTGTCTATCCGAAAAAGTCGGATGTATAACGGATAGTGTCGGATATCGAATTTGGGCTCGTTTCGGATACGGATATCCGAACTCAACCGAATCCGACCCGATTTTTCGGATATCCGCACACCTCTAGTTCACATGCCCTCCCTCACCCTTGGCTTGGCCTCAGTCGCTTGCAGATTTCCATTACACAAAAGTTTCTGAGTGTTAATTATTTTAAAACAGTACACTGTAAATGTTTGAATTTGACTATGATGAGATCTAATAAGTTTCCTCTAATTTATAAATAGGCTTATAAGTATTATTCTAAGTCATTTGACAGTTTTTGTATTCATTTTTAAAAGCAATTGCAGTTATACTTTAAAAAAATTACATACATCTTGGCCTATAGATACTTTTTGTAAGGAGAGTCTTTTCTCTAGTGAGTAAAAACGATCGTGGTCAAGGAATGACTGTGCTAAAACAGCACATTGTCAATTTTTACAAAAAGTATTTTGACTGAAACCTGGTATTTTTAAAGACATTGTAGAATAAGTCGACGTCTGTGGTAGGTTTTACTTTTAGCCTACAATAAAGATTATGCTTTGGGACGAAAACTGTTGTAGTTTACTTGTTTATGGCTATATGTTGATCAAATTTGGCAAATTTATTTATTTCATCCTATACTATTAACGTTTTGTCAAAAAAACACTGTTAATCTTCCCCGTAGCAGCAAACCTAAGCACTCGTTAATTCTATGTTAATTAAATTGGGAATAAATATGTCTTATTTATGGAAATATTTTAGTAAATATGTAATCAGACAAGTTGAAATTCGCTTAGTCTGCAGGTTTGCTGCGACAGGGGTATTATAAAACATGCCATAGTTTTATTTAGTACGGTAACAAAAGTGTTTGACTATCAAGAGTATAGGTTCGGCAGAGTGGATTCACTGTGAACCGGCCTGCCTGGCCCTTATGCACGACATCACTATAACCTCCGTGTAGGGTTGTCAACAATGGATCGGAACAATCAATGTTTTGAACCTGTCTGTAACCCAGGTTTTATACTTTAATACTCATTATTTATAAATGAACACGTCCTATATATCGGATCTCGAATCACGATATTTATCGATACCCTTCCCAACCACAATAAGCACATAAAATGATGTCTAAGCAATCGTCATTTGCTCCATTGAAACACGAAAGTCGATTGGCTGACATGGTAGTGCATTGTCGCCTCCTGACCAATGAGAACTGTTGTTACATACTTTTATTGTCAACATTCACCATTCGTTATAACATTACATAATCGACATGGACTAAAGCTTATGATATTTTTCAATAAATACATTATGTCATAGTAGCACTTAAAACTTCACTAAACTCTTAAATCAGGTAGATAGGACAGATAAATATGGACCTACTTTTTGGCGCAATATAAAGCAATCCTAACCATACGACGATGACGATGTTAAAGTTTAATGGTTGAATATAATTTTTCTAATGATGCGTATAATGCAGGGATGAAACTGAACATTTTGACGTGTTTAGGTTATTTATTTTGTACTAAAAATAAAAATAATACATCTAAATGTCTGACTTATTGATACAGACATTGTTTAGTATAATTAATTTCGTGTTGGCAGGACATTCGCGTGCTGGTTGTCTCATGAGTTGAGCCTGACATCTTGATATGTAGATTGTGTTGTGCAATCTACATTCTGTGTGTGAAGCTAAACAATGTCACCGGCACCGTCGCTGTTTTGAACTAGATAGTTTCTAAGTTGGCTATGAAAATTTTTAACAGTGATTACAAATCTAATACTGTAGCTATAAAGTAAATAAATGTTAAAATAAAATATTTATCCCTGTCGGGTGTCGGTATCATCGGAATCAACTTTTGACAATCTAGTCTTGGCACCTATACCAATGTCCAAGTGGTAACCAATGGATGGTGGTATCGATGACGATTATCGACACATCCCTTTTTAGAACTGTATCGTGACCAAATCGATGCATGCTGGATCGAATCGGGATTCGATGCATCGAATTGAAATTTCAATGCATCGCACTCGCTGCACACCACTACCTATCACTTTCACCCAGTGTCAGCGTTTGCTGTCAGTTAAATGGATGACGCAAGCGATGTCTAGGTTGCTGATTATTATTAGGCCTGGTATGTCAATTTTGAAAGGGGTTAAGGGATTAAAAAAAAACTCAAACATTTTCCTTTCTTGTTATTTACTTGTCAAATATCAACGAAATCGGCTTAACCTCTACTACTCGACTCTAGTTGCGAGTATATTTAACTAAGTAGGCTAACAGCTAGGATTCGTAACGGCAACGGCAATTTACCCGCTCTGAACTGACTTAATCCGCACCGATTCGTAGCGTTCAGTGTCAGTATCGGTATCGAACCCAAAACAGGCAAGTATCGAGTATTGGTATCGGCCCACCTCAAAAAATGTGTTAAATTGCGTTATACACTTCTTACTTGCAATATTCGAGTAGAAATGTGTTGATTAGAAGTATGCAGGATAAATTATGTACAATTTGTTAACTGAAAGATATAAGTTTATAAATGAAGATTTTTTTTAAATGAGTTTGTGTTTAGCTACGCCGAAATTGTTAAGAGTAAAGGGGATTATTATAGGTACACAATAAAATATAAGGGTCTGCAGGTCCCTAAGAGATTTGTCCTAAGACCAAATATTTTTGCTCTCTTGTGTGATTTTTAACTGTGTATCTACAGGCCCCTGGACTCTTACTCTTGCAGGTAAGCTTGCTTCACTCCATCCTTTTATAAATAATTCCTTAATCCACCACATGGCTTTCCTTAAATAACTGCGAAGAATCTTTCAACAGTAGTGTTAGCTACAACGCCTCGGTCATAATTGCGATTTGGACTCCTAGTTTTGCTGTGATTAAATGCACCCACTCCAAGGATTGGGGCAACATGCACTAAAAGTTAAAACACATTAAAGATAGACAAGACAGGCTTTAAAGGGGATGGGGATCCATCTGCTATTGCCTTACAGAATTTCTAAGAACCAACTATAAATGCAGACTCCAATTCTGCTATCTCAATACGTATGAAGTGTGAATGAAAATAACCATACAGATTCTTTATTAGCCATACTAAACAAACCTCAAAGTCAAATTTGCGTTATGGTCAAGATATTTCCTAAAATAAATGGAACCCTTGCGTTCAATCCAGCTTCTTTAGTTGGACCTCAGATTCTTAAAACATAACAATTAATTGCCAAGGAGTTAAGGCCAAGTAAATCGTTTGTTTAGATAAACACAAGCACAAATAGGTAATTTTATCCGTATTGGTAATTTTTTTTTAACACGTTCACTGCTAAAGGAAATTATAAAATTAAATCGTATTGCTAAAAAACTTTACTGTTGTATAACATTCCTTTTTGTGTCCTTATTGAAATACAATATTATATAATACGATCGGAAGTGAATATGACGTCAAAAAGTGACGTCATAATAATGGGTCAGTACTGCAGGGTATTTGCCTCGTTTCTCTTTTGATGGCTCATCTACAGACCAAGACCTTTCTTTAGACACCCCTACCAAGTTTCTACGCCCAGCCGTTCTCTGAAATTAGCTGTGACAAAAACCTGTTTTTCCCCCATACGAATAACATGGGATGGGAATTAAAACGCTACTGGGGCAGAGCCCCAAGGGAATTTACCATTTTTCTCTTTTGATGGCTCATCTACAGACCAAGCCCTTTCTTTAGACACCTCTACCGAGTATCTACGCCCAGCCGTTCTCTCAAATTAGCTGTCACAAAGAAAAACAGTTTCAAATTAATATATAGATTTAAAAGCAGATGTTTACTTTAACCAACTGTTTTGTAGGTTTGAATAATCACAACATTCTGTATTAGTCATTATTTGAAATAGTGCCACAATGTTTCTACAGAGTGCAGCACAGACAACTATTTTACTTTGAATCAATCCAAATATATTAAACCCCAATCGCAGCACACCTGTGCACTCAACAACGTTTAAATTCTCCAATGTTAAATATGTAAACATAAACACCTTTATCAAAGTATTATAAACAATAATAGGGATGGCAATGCCTTAATATTTTTATCTTTTGTTCTATACCCACAAAATCTTAACATAAATTATTAAGCGAATAAAAATTGTGCGTGCTATCTCGGGTATTCAAATGCCTCTCAATTTGTCATTAACCCACCACATTACTGTCATTAAAAGAAGGAAGTCCAGTAATAGTAATGTGAAACTTAAATCCACTGAAGCTGTGAAACGATACCAGACTGATGATTTAAAAAATAACACCAAAATTGATTGAAGCAAAAATTATCAGTGGTAAGTTTAAAGGAGAAATAGTCTTAATCCTAAGAATATTGATGATTTAATCTGAATTACCCTCTGAATTTAAGCAGCTACAATTTCCTTTGTGTCTTGCTTTCGCAATCACCATTATAAGTCACTAGGGCAATCCCTGACTATCGTCGGTTTAAATTTAGAAAATGCATGCTTTTCACACTGACAGCTGTATGTTACGTGCTCACGTGGTGGTAGGTACATCTGAAAACTTATATATTTATACACCTAATGAAAAAAACAAAAAACATTGTTGATCCACTAGCAATTAAGTAAAATATTCTATTTTTATTTTTGGCATACACTTTTATTATTTATTGTAAAGAACAAATTGCCATTTAAAACAATAGTTATTAAGCGCAGCAACACGCGCCGGGTAACTGCTAGTTATCTTAATAATACTTTATGTCATAAAGACAGGAGTTTTGTAGTATAACCAATTATTTAGAAAATTAAATTTGGTTAAACTATAAAAATTGGTATTGGTATCAAGAATTGAGAATCCATACATTTTGGTATCTACACTCTCTAATTGCTAAAAAAAACTAGACTTGAAAAGTCTGAAATTAGTCTTGAAAAGTCTGAAATTAGTTTTGAATTTTATAATGGAAATAAACTAGACACCCTGTTGTAACTTAATGCATAAATTACTTAAAACTGCAATCAAGCCTTTAATAAATCAATTAAAAAATAATGGAAATAAACTAGATACGCATCAATTGTCATAAGCAAATAAATAAAAGTTGAACTCACGGTTAGGAACCTCACTGTAAAGTCAGGAAGCTTGTTTGATTTTTTTTTAGATCTCCTAAAATATAAGCCTTACTATAACCAACTTTAAAATATTTTTCTCATTATTACATGTCCTGCCCTAAAAAAAATATATATATAATAAGACTAAGTTGGTAATTTAACTTGAATACAGTGTGTTGAATGCAGTGTCGATCGTTTTGTAGGTTTTCTAAGCGTTGGAAACCTTCCACCTCTTCCCGATCTCCCTTCTTTCTTCCTCGTTGGTAATGTATTCATTTGGAGTTTATTTTGTTTTGATTTTATTTTATGTATTTTTTGTGTTAAACATTTTTTCTTTATATTTATTGGGATTTTGCTTTATTTTATTGGAAAGACATCTTTCTAAAGGTCATATATATCATTTGTTGGTAGTAAAACATTTTTAAAACTCAAACAAAATGATATGACTAAAATTAATAACTATAGATAAATGTTAAACACTTCATTTAAAATTTTTTTTTTATTTCCTTTTTGTTTTAAAATTTTTGACTATATTTGATCAATCCTTTTTATTTAAAGTCCATAATTAAATCAATTTTTTTTGCCGGTTAGAGCAAGTTTTTTGCTTTACTCATTGTGTTTGTCATAATTCTCATAATTGTTTTTGTATGAAATTGAGTTTAAATAAATTGGGCATGGAATATAAGGCTAAGTATGCTCAGGGTAGCCCACAGTAAGGGACAGGGGTATAATAATGATGTGGGTGCCCTTGAGACTGGAGAGGTACTTGCGTAGTGTGGAGGTTGGCAACTCTGTTGCTTCCAGGTGTAGGAAGGTGGCTCGTGGTGTCAGAGCTCGAGTGCCGTTCCACCAGCGAGAACCAGATGACACACTCTGGTTTGTCACCTTTACAACCAAAAAATACCCTCTCTCACTTATTGCCTTGTCATCTCTCTACCTGTCAAACTTTAGGGCAGGGAAAATACTTGATTGTAAAATAAAAATAATTTAGCTGGTACACTATAGGTTCAAGATACTTCTATTGTTCTAGATTCATAAGTGTTAAAGTTGCAAGGGTTTGAAGATTAAAATCATGTTTATAATTAGCCAACTAATTATTTTTAAAATCTGAATTAAATAGTCCACGATAAGAATGGCCAAACAGTTTTTTTCTGAATCTTTAATTATTCTGCTATGACAAAAAAGCAATTTTGATCTGATGCAGCTTATTAATTATTAGAATAATTTTGTTCAAAGTAATGTAAGAAAAATACAGGGAATATTATTAGGAATTTGTTGTTTTAAAAACTTTGATTGGATACAGCAAGCAAATTAATAGTTAGAGGGCTTAAAGATGGGAAATTAAAACAATCAGGGGTGTGGGAGTCATTTTGAATTTGTGGTAATCCTGTGTCGAGAATGTGATTTAAAATTTCAGTAATCAGTTATGTTGTTGCTATTATATACCTAAAAAAAATTGAAAAGTGATAAGCATCCAGAGGTTGAGCACAAGTGAAATGTTTTAAAATTAGAACCAACAGGTTTGCCCAATTGATATGTAGTGTCGTAAGAGACAGACAAGGCGTGAGTGAGATGAGAAACTACGGTGTGTGGTGACAATTGAACTAACAGTTTGCCGCTAAATCACTAATTCTCTTGCAGGATCTATCTATCTGCTGAATGAGGCTCATCGAAACTTGTTTTTTTACTTGTATTCTTGTTAACGAGGTTATGAGAATTTTTAGGTGTTTTCTGGTTTGAGGTTTGACATTGTTGATTTGGCTTGTCCATTTTCAAATGGGAGTGGAGTGGAGTATGGGGTTGAGGTTGGGGTCTTCATTATCATTTTGGAGTGTTAAAATGTATTTATTATTTGTGATGGTTGAATTTAAGAATTTTGAATCTCAAATTCAAATATTTGAAGAATTTGCAATAGATTCTTTAATCCAAGTACTATTTTAATAATATACAATCTGAAATCTATTTAAAAATCCATTTTTGATATATTTTTTGATATATATCCATATATATATTTGATTTTTAATTTAATCAACACTAAATATGTGTTTTGGTGCTAGTGGCTCAGGGCATATGTTAAGTATTACCAATTGTGAGATTCGGTGTTCAATTCTCTAATTAGGATGATGAAATCCAAAACTATCTGTAAGATTCAACCAATTTGAGATTTAAGATTTGGCTTTGACACATCACTAACTGTAATAATCCGTGGTCATCTTATTAATTTATTTTTAATATTGAATTGACTTTTCAATTTAATAGTAAAACAATCAACAGAGCTTTTATATTTTGCTAGCCTATAAAAAATTTAAAAATATATAATTTGAGCTTATTTTTTAAGGTTTTGATTACAGATTGAAATTTTTGTGTGAGGAAAATTATCATCTGCTTAAAGTTAATAGTAAACACTTTTGCTGATAATTGTTGATCAAAAATATAAGTAAGAATCACAGAGAACTATTTAAACATGTTGGATAACTTCTAAATTGCACATTTTTTATGTCATTTGAGTAATTTTTAGATAGTTTAAAATAAATACCGATAGACTGCATATAAAATTAGGTTTCAACAGTTTTTCTAGGTCTAACCTTATAAAAAAATACTATTTAAGTTTTTTTTGGAAAATCTGTTTTTTATTTCTTAGTTTCCTGTACTCATACTATAAATATAATATAGGCCTACTATAAATTTAAAGTCACTCAGAATGTAAGCTTATATTGTTTGTGTTGTCTGCAGGTATACAGGAGCGTATGGCCAGCATTCGACGCCTCACCACCAGCAGAATGACTCTCTACCTGTCGCGTCTGTAGGTTCGCCCGCATCTGTCGCCCCCTCTCCTCTCCCCAACCCCCAGTCACTTCCCCCCGCCAGCGTACCCCCTGCCGACCCTACCATGCCCACCCTGAGTCCTCAACCTCCCCCTCCTCACCCCTTGGAGGACAAGGTTGTTTGTACGCCGGACGGACACTTCCATGGACCCAAGAGTGTTTCATCAATCAACCAGGTATGTTTCAACATTCAACTAGGGGTGATTAAAGGTTATCGTTAGGACAGCAGGCTTGGCTGAATGGAAAAAAGTCCATTCCAGCAAAAGAAAACCAGAATATTTTACACTACTAAGTTTAAACAAAAGGTTACCTCGGATATTGAATTAGTTTTTAAGTTTACTGGAATGGCTGTATTTTCAAGATTATGGTCAGAGTTAGCCTCAATTATTTATTTAAGAAACCCAACTCTGTTAAATTTCCTCTAAATTATAATTGCCTTATTGGATTAACGAGGGTTATTTTTTTAGTAAGGGCTATTTTTGCGTATAGTTGTGGATAGCTCCGTAGATCGAGTGTACGCTACAATGAGACTCCTCTCCACACTCTGGCATCAATTTTGTGAACAGAACCACACCATCTGCTGCTCTGTTGCTGACATGTACAAAATTATTGAATCTCCCGCTATGTGCGAGATTAAGTCAGTGATGCGCTTTTGACTACAAGAAACATATCTGATGCTGACATTCATCGCCAGATGACTGAGGACCCTAATGCAATGATAGAGGGGAAAATACAGAATGGGCTAGTGAGTTTTGGAATAGCCATAAAAATGTTCATTCTGGTAATTTTTTATGGGTATTAGACTTCTCACAAAAGACCATAAAGGATAAACAGGGTGTATACCAACCGGGAAAAACCTTAAATTTAAAAGGACCTGGAAAAACTGGGAAAAAGCCAGGATTATGGTGCGATTCCGGGATTTTTTAAACCCCGGTAGAAGATTGCAATTGTATTTTCCCCGATCGCGAAAGACTATGATGACATTTGTGACCGCGGAAGTCAATGATGATGTCTACACGGCCGCGTAAGATTTTCGTGATATTGCCGCAATCGCGGAAGATGTCTATCACATTTCCATGAGCGCAAAAGACAATGATGACGCATACACGGGCGCAGGAAATTTTCATGATTTTGCTGCGATTCCAAACGACGATAGCGTTCCCGTGACCGTGAGAGACGACGATGATGATGTCCAATTCAATTCAAATTCTTTTGATTCATTCTCAGTACAAGTTTTTATACAATGAATAGCATCAAATAAAAATAAAGATTAATTATGCCTTACTTATCGCTAAAACAATCATTATCTTTACAAAACAAATGTAGATAAGCTGAAGAAGACTAAACAAAACAAAATTAAATTAAAATATCTTTTTAAACTATAATTTATGATTTCTGTCATGAAATTTTGATAATTTATTGTTTGAAAATGAAATAATTTAGTGACTAAATAGATTTAAGAAAAATAGTTATAGTTTTTGAACAAGTTGACTGTATTTTGTTCTATTTACATTATGAATCACTTACTGTTTTTGTTAATTCTTCTTGAAGTTAAATACAATGTTGTAGTGATTTTCTTGAATTTAATTTACACTTTTTCTTATGGATCTTCTTTTCAGTTCATTTCATTCTGTCTTCATTTATTTATATTCATCACAGTCACAAAAGTCTCAGATGTTGTTTTTAAAAGATTTAATTGTTGAGCATTTTTAGAGTAGTTAAACAGCTTGCATTTACAGTGTTGCCAATCTTAATCTATATAAATAAAATTAGAGTTTTGTCTGTACATTGCTCAGAATTATATATTTTTAGGTTATTTTTACGTTTTACACATTAAAGAAGCAGAAACAAGTCTTATCTCTATTTCTGTCTGTCTGTCTGTCTGTCTTTAACACTCAAGATGGCATTATAAGCAATCTTCTCCATGAAAACGAGAGTACCTATCAAGATCCAAGTCATTTTAATGTATTTACTGGATTGGCAAGAGTGTCTTTAGCCATTAAAATATGGCCTCACTACTTTGTAAATAAAATTACGGACGTTCAAAAATGCAGTTTTGTGCCATTTTTTGTCAAATTTTCGTTAAATTTTTATCACATAATCATCTATGAAATAACGAACAGCTGTTCGGATTAAGATTATTTTTTTCTATCTGTCTCTGATATGTTTACAAATGTTGTTTACAAATACCGCAACCATTTCCGATCACGTTTTGAAAGCAAATCCCAACCAAGTGAGATTAAAAACATTTTTCTTACATTTTGGATTTTATTAATCGCAAGTTCAATACTATAGTGTAACCGTAAATGAAATTAAATAACAGGAACTAAAAATGCTTTGTGTAGGCTATAAAATTGTTCTTCAGTTTTGATAACCAGAAAGAAGACCTTGAATCAGTGTTGTATAGGGCTGGGAAACTTAATGATCGTCGCAAATAGCTTACAAACAAGGTTTCCACTCATTGACGGCGCTTCAATGGCGATTGTGTAAAGTGTAAAGTAAAAAAAAAAAACACAACTGCAGTGGGTGATTGTAACAGAGGTTTACAGATGATGCTAAACTCACTTTTCCAATATGCCACTTTCTTCTCTACTTTGTTTCTACTCACCGTGTGATGCAATTGCAGGACCATACAGCCAATAGGCCCATAGCCCATCTCTTGGGTACGTACTTTGGGTACGTACGTACGCCTACCTATTTATTCATAACGACCTTTTCGACGACGATCCTTGATACCGGTACTCTTCCATAGAATACATGGCCTACCTACTTAAGAAATAAAATAACAAATGTCCAAAAACCCAACATTGTGTGATTTTTTACATATTCAACTGACTACTATAAGATCCCCGTGCGTAGAACGGGCAGACAGCTAGTAACTAAATATTCTTTTTAATACAATGTGATATAAAATATAATTTGATGTAATAACATATGATAATTTTAATATTGAAATGAATTGTAATTTAAGCTTTAATAATAATAAATTGTAAACATAAACATTGGTTAATGAATTTTGATTGACTTACTTGGAATAATTTAAATATGAATGAAATAAAGAAAACTAATAAATACTTAACATCTCGGCCCCCTTGAACTATTTATACAATACATAGTAACAAATTAAACTCAAAAACAGAACTAAAAGCAATGCAACTTTGAGAACAAAGAATCAATAAATAATAACTGTGAAATAAAACTAAAGAAAAAACATAAAGGGTTTGAAGCTTACTTAACTTAATCTACAGGAATAGGGGAAAGGTTCACTATAGGGCGAGTGATAAGTCCTGATCTTGTGTAAACTTCAGCCACTCAGACTATGTTGTCTTTGCCTGGGAAGGCTTTGGTGGTATGGCCAAATTTCCATTGCAGAGGTGGGAGATTGTCTTCATGTATCAAAACTAAGTCGTTCACTTCTAAGTTCTTGTGAGACTTTGTACATTTAGTGCGCTGCTGCAATGTGTACAGATATTCGTTGTTCACTTCTAAGTTCTTGTGAGACTTTGTACATTTAGTGCGCTGCTGCAATGTGTACAGATATTCGTTGTTCACTTCTAAGTTCTTGTGAGACTGTCCATTTAGTGCGCTGCTGCAATGTGTACAGATATTCGTCGTTCACTTCTAAGTTCTTGTGAGACTTTGTACATTTAGTGCGCTGCTGCAATGTGTACAGATATTCGTTGTTCACTTCTAAGTTCTTGTGAGACTGTCCATTTAGTGCGCTGCTGCAATGTGTACAGATATTCGTCGTTCACTTCTAAGTTCTTGTGAGACTTTGTACATTTAGTGCGCTGCTGCAATGTGTACAGATATTCGTTGTTCACTTCTAAGTTCTTGTGAGACTTTGTACATTTAGTGCGCTGCTGCAATGTGTACAGATATTCGTTGTTCACTTCTAAGTTCTTGTGAGACTGTCCATTTAGTGCGCTGCTGCAATGTGTACAGATATTCGTCGTTCACTTCTAAGTTCTTGTGAGACTTTGTACATTTAGTGCGCTGCTGCAATGTGTACAGATATTCGTCGTTCACTTCTAAGTTCTTGTGAGACTTTGTACATTTAGTGCGCTGCTGCAATGTGTACAGATATTCGTTGTTCACTTCTAAGTTCTTGTGAGACTGTCCATTTAGTGCGCTGCTGCAATGTGTTCAGATATTCGTTGTTCACTTCTAAGTTCTTGTGAGACTGTCCATTTAGTGCGCTGCTGCAATGTGTTCAGATATTCCTTGTGCCATCTCTTCCATATTCGTTGGGTGAAGGACTTGACTAGTTGCCATCTCTTTAAGCGGTTTGTTGGTATATCAGCTACATCAGTTTCAGTTAATGTTACTAAGGGTCCGCCGACAAGAAAGTGTCCCGGTGTAAGAGCTTCAAGTTCACCAGGCTCAGAAGAAAGAGGTGTCAGGGGTCTACTATTTATGATAGCTTCTACTTGGCAGAGTAAGGTTGTGAATTCTTCATAGCTTAATAGACTATCACCAATGACTACGAAGATGTCTCTTTACACTTTGAATCGCTCGTTCCCAAAGACCTCCAAAAAGGGGTGCACAAGGAGGAATGAAATGAAACTCAATGTGCTGACCAGATAGGAATCTTTTTGTTGAATCTTTCAGAATTAACTTGTGGAAGTTTTCTTGAAGCTGACGAGAAGTTTCCGCCGTTGTCTGAATAGAGATGGTTGATCATTCCTCTGACCTAATCTCGCACCCGATGGGAGATTCAATGATTTAAACACATTTTTAAAAACACACAGCGAAGCATACGTGTCAGCTATAGAACTGCAAATTGTGTCATTCTGTTCACAAATAGTGCCAGTAAGCAGCGTTTAGCCTCGTGGTATACACACGAACCACGGAGCTATACGCAAAAATGGCCCTTACTTAAAAAAAAACATTCAATGTAATTATTGAGTAATTAATCACTAACAAATTTCTGTTAGATAAAAATCATTAATTTTGCTTTATTTAATTTCCCTTGAGATACCTGTTATTAGCTTTTACTAGATTCAAGATCAATACGGTATGTTTAGTCTGATTTTGTGTAGGGTTTTCTGTTGTATCCATCCACACCCGTGGATAATTCAATGATCATTATTATAATTATAATACACTAGATGCTCTGCCTGAGCTTCGCAACAGAACGGCAATAGAGAGACTTTAAACTCTCTAATAACCTATAGTAATAAGTTATAGTACAGTAATAACTTTGATCTTTAAACCAGAAAAACAAATTTAAGACACTTTTGATGGATTATAGAGGTTAAGCTCAATCCCACTTATTGCTTATTTCCATCAAAAATCTACAATGTGAATCAAAAGACCAACACTAAAAAAAAATAGACAAGCAAAAATTACATATAAATAAAAAATAAATTTTACAGCTAATGCATCTTTAATATTTGAAATATGATTAAGTACAACCCTTTAATTGAGGTTTGTGTCCTCAGGATCTACGGTTGATCCAAAAACTGATATTTTCTATGGAAGTAGGTGAGTGACTTACAGCTTTGACTACACCATTGTATTTATGTAGGTGTTCTCGCCGTACCCATCTGCCCTGAGTGTGGAAGGAGGCAAGTGTGGAGTGGACAGTGTAGGTGGTTGTGGCCCTGGCAGTGCGCCACCCCCTGTGTCTGCTCCACCTTCAGCCCCTGCACCCCTGCCTGCTCCTGACCCTCCAGCGCCCACGCTCAAGCGACCTGTACTGTCCACTCGAGACTACGAAACCATCCTACAAGAAGAAGAACAACCATCACAGCTGCTCTATGACTATTCCGCATTGGAAGCTTGGTTAGTAAGAAAAAAATATTTACATGTTTGTTTCTTTTCTTCTTGACACAGATTGTTCCTCTGCTTTCTATCTTTACTAAACCTTTTTTATGGAAGGTCTAAGTATTAGTGTGTACCTCAGGTTAAACCATCCAGTGAAGAGATTCAAGCCAGCTGAGCCGAGGTCTGAGCCCCGAGGTCCCGTGTTCTCTCAGTACTCCACCCCCTCGGTTCCCTCCCCACCACCGCACCAGCTGTACATCAAGCAGGAGAACATGCCTGTAAGTATCAACTCTGAGCTACTTAACTAACTTGTGCATTTAGCATGGTTAAATGTAAACTATTACAAATCGAAGCTACTTACCGAGGAAATACTGTTATAGTGATAGTGTAAAATCCTAAGTTTTTCTTAAAATTTAAGTTAGGTAGATGTCAAGTTAACTAAATGGCCTGACAAAAAAAGTTGGCACTTAAACTTTCACAAAAAAGTTACTGGCACAGTTACATTAAATTTATATCTTGGTAATTGGGTTTTCTACGATAACTTTTTTTAAACAAATATCTTTAAATAAAAAAAATATTATAGTTTATAGTATTTGCACTGTAGTTTTTGTTTACTGTGGCACAGTGTTGGCATAGTAACGCAAGTGCAGTATTTGCAGATGGAAGTGGATGCGACGAGTGGTGGCACGCCGGGCGTGGGACCATTCAAACGGTCCGATCCTTACGAGTTTGACGATGATGGCAGTGCTCCTAGTATGGAGGGTTTCAAACGTGCCCCAGGCCAACCTGTTAAGGTAAAACTTTCCTGCATGGTTGCGGGATTGCAAAGGTGGCGGGTGTTGGTTTCTGCTGGCTGTAGTTTGGTTTGTAGTGGCAGTGGTTTCGGGTTTGCTCTGCAATGGTCATTTTTAGGTGAAACAACAGGGTATGTGCTGCAGTTGATTTTAGTGCTGGATATTTTTAATAGTCTTGCTGGTCTAATACTTGCCATTAAATATTCAGTTGAGAAATTTCAATATAATTATGAGATTTTATCAAATGATTTTGTGAATTTGGATGTAGCGTAGCAAAATCATTTATTATAAATAACAGTAAAATCCTTGATTATATTATAAACTCGCTAAAGCCCAGTTGTTTTCAAAAATGTAATGAGAATCACAATTGAATCGGTAACAATTTCTTACATTTATTCTCAACCGTATTGGGAACCATAACATTTGTAGTCCATGCTCTTTCAACTATATTGTTTTTACAAGAACTCAAGCAACTTTCTAAACATATTTTTGTAGTTGGTTGGATTGCATGAAGTAGGCCCTAAATGGTTTTTATACTCTTACATTCCTTCTTGAGACCGTTTTTATTATAGGCCTATACAAGTTTTGGTATCCTATTTTGACATTTTTGTTTATGCTTAATGGTGAATGTTACTGGTTTTGAAAAAAAATAATTCAAACATCTGATTTCATGTGTTGACAAAAACCTCAACAAACTGTAACTGTATACCAAGTGAAGTAGATATCAATGTATGCCTGTGTCCAGGAGGAAGGAGACAAGAAGAGCATGGAAGGGACAGTCCTCAACGGCCCCAAGCTACAGTCTGGCAACTTGTTCACCAAAGAGGGTATTGAGGCCAGCTTCAATGATCTTGACCAGATATTTGAGAACTCTGACGATACTTCAAGTGATGAAGCGGTCAGTACTTCAACTGAGCGGACTGTTTGTGAAGAAATAATATTACCAAGTTTTTAATATTAGCAAATGTATTAGCAATTTAATAATATTATAATATTACCAAATCGATAAGCTGACATCAAATCAGCTTTTTTCCCATCCCTAGGGAAAAACTCATGGGCGAGGGATTAGATGAGGATTCTGATCCTGCGTTTGACCGAGTGAATAAGTGTTTTGATTCCAGCTTTGGATTTTGCCTAGTGATTTTGCTAATTGTGAGAGTGAATTTACTATTTGAGTGCAGGGTTTCTAGTAGTCGGGAAAAACGGGAAAGTCGGAAAACACGGGAAAGTCGAGAATTAGTATTGAATAGGGATGGACGAGATTGGATTTTTAGTTCGAGACGAGACGAGACAAGATTTTTTATTTCTCATAAAATTTCGAGACGAGATCGAGACGGGATATCCCTTCTCATACACAACGGGAAATGCACGTTCAAAATTTTTACCTGATTTTGTAACATTGTTAGATGACTGTTTAAATACAAAAATAATGATAATAGGCAAGAATATGTACAATCTTTTATTAAAAAACATCAGCATAACATTTTTTTATTAATCACGCCTAACTTATTAAAAATGCCTACGATTAGGAAACAATGTGATATCAGTTAGGATAGAGTTCAACTTATCCTAAAATAAAATAAATCATAAAATAAAAACAATATTAATTTTTATAAAATAGTTACTTGTTTTGACTTTTTATAGGCTAGTAATAAAACATTCCTCACACTGCTTACACTTAACAAAAGTTCTCAAATGTTATTAAAGTAATATTATTAAAATAATTAAAGTAATATTTACATTTAAAGAAATAATTAAATAAGAACGCCTTCGCAAAGGAAACGCAACTACAACACGCTCCTGTATTGCGGGTACTGCGTTGACTTTCTGCAGGCGTTTTTAATTTTTTTTTATTTTTTATTTTTTTTATTACTCGTCTTGATAAAAATCTCGGCCAAAAAGAAATCTCGTCTCGTGTAACGAGATTTAAAATTTCCCGAAAATTTCCCAAAATTTCGAGACTTGACCATCCCTAGTATTGAATTTAGAAATGGTCTTGAAAAGTCAGGGTTTAGTCTTTTATTTTGATATCAAAGTCGGGAATTTCCTAGATTTTTCCGCAATCGCTGGAGACGATGATGCTAGATGACGATCAGGTTTTCGTGACTACCTTATATTTATGATTTTGCCGCGATCGCGCTAGATGATAATCACGTTTTCGAGACCGGATGAGATTTTCATGATTTGGCCGCAATCAAGCTAGAAGGCGATCACGTTTTCCTGACCGCGGGAGACAATGATGATTTTTCCGTGACCGCGGGAGATGATGATGACGTTCTCGTGACCGCGGGAGATGACGATGACGTTCCCGAGACCGTGGGAGATGACGATGACGTTCCCGTGACCGCGGGAGACGACAATGACGTTTCCGTGACCACGGGAGACAATGATATTTCCGTGACCGCGGGAGATGACGATGACGTTTCCGTGACCTCGGGAGATGACGATGCCGGTTCCGTGACCACGGGAGATGACGATGACGTATCCGTGACTTCGGGAGACGAAGATGAGGTTTCCGTGATCGTGCATGCGGACGATGACGTTTCCATGACCGGTTTGTCTGTTCAGAGATTCGATACATTTTGGTATCGACATATCACTATTTTTAGGAAGTTATTAATAAATTGCAGGCTTAAGGATTAATTTTCAATTTTTGGATTATTTAATCAGTAATATATAAAAATTGAATACTTGTGTCAGGCAATATTACAGCAATCATAACTTTTTTTCCTTTACTGAGAATGCTTTTTCCAATAGAGAATGTTGTAACAATCGCAAAATACGGCGATAATGTCTACACGGCCGTGGGAGATGATAAAAATTTTCCGTGTTCTCGCAAGAAGGGGATGATATTTCTTAACCGCAGGAGTCAATGATGACTTCTTGACCGTGGCAAAATTTTGCCGCAGTAATCCGAGAAGTCAACCTTTTATCTTATCTTATCTAACAGGGGCAGGCCGAGACCTTACAGCACTTCATCCGAAAACCAAATTATTGCGCACCCCATACAATTGTTTTCTTGTTGACCTTACAAGTTAAGGTGTCCAATGAATGCCTGTAGCTTCTCAATTAGTTCATCCTCGGGAAGATAACTTCCTCTAGCCAAATTACCAAGAGTTATGTGATATGCAGAAAACCCCCTCACTCTTCATAGGTTATCCTGCATACGCACATGGGAGCGTAGCTTTATAGCAAACCCGAATCTTTAATCTTATTCTACTTTATGCTATGAGCTGGGTAGCTGTTCATTGTTCAATAAGAGAACCAGATCGTGATCATCAAACAGGATTTTTAATTATAGCTTACTAACAAATGCCTGGTAGGAACCGCTCTGGAGGCAGCTTGAATCTTAGATTTATAATCCCCAAAAAACGAAACAAAACTATTCCCTTGTAATCTAATCAAACCAAAGTATCTATCCCCAAAAGAATTCCTTCAAATCAAATCACCAAACCCCAATTAACTTAACAGTCCCCTTAAATCAAAACTTCCTGTACAAAACTCCCGACTACAGGGCCTAACCCCAAGATAGAGAAACCAGTACTCACCCAACTCTCCTGGGCACCTTGCCCCGGGCAACTGATCCCTTTCTCTCCCTCAGGTGGCCTATTTATTGACCCGACAGCTACTGAGTGCAAAGCCCTCAGTGTTTACAAAACACCTCCAGCACGCGTCACAGCAAGCAAGGCCTGACCACAGGTCATCAACCTAGCTTGCCCAGGCTACCCTCCTTTACAGTTATCATTCTAGCATCAGAGAGCTCGTCACAATCAAAGAGCAGGTGATCGGCTGTCTCCTCTGACCTATCGCAATACCTACAGATCGGTTCACCACCAAATAAGCCCATCTGATGTAAATATTTCCTGAATTGCCTGTGTCCAGTGGCGGCTCTAGGACCTTGTCTAGGGGGGGGCTCCGGGGGGTTTGGGGGGTGTGGAGCAAAATTTTTAAAATTTTAAAGCCGTTTGGTGACTTTTTAAAGCAATTTTAACGCCTAAAACTGTGTCCAATAATAGTCCAAAAACTCCCATTTCACCTGTTGTTTGTCATGCATGAGCAAATAGACATAAGTAGAATAAAGTAAAGTATATTTTTTAAATAGTTTTTACCAATTTATTTAATAGATCAGATTTATTATCCCAATAGAACTAGGCCTATATTAAATATGAATAGATATTGCAAAACATAACAATTAATCCTCTATTGTGGTTTCTATTTCATAATTCAACTTTTTAAACCTAGTTTTAATTTGTACTGCTCAATTTCGGAATTTTGGGGGAGGGGTTTGACTCTCTAACCCCCCTCCCTGCCTACGGCCTTGTAAAACGGGACTACACTGTATTGAAAATATAACTAACAATTGATAATTTAATAGTAAAAAATCCACGGCAATAATGAGTAGATAACCAAACGGTAAGGCCTGACAATGATTGAATTGTATAATTTAAACACCCACGGCAATAACGAATAGAAAACCAAACCATGAGGGTAAGGCTTGACTAATTGTATTTTATATTAAAACATCCACGGTAATATGAGTAGAAAACCATACCATGAGGATAAGGCCTAACTTTAATTGTACTGTTTGAATGTGAAATCCATCCTCCTTTCTTTCTGCCCGGCGAAGTGATCTATTACTTTTTCGTTGAAGTTTAAAGTTGACAACAGCTTTTTTTCGATAGAACACATAGCAAGCGCACTTAGTCTGTCTTGTTTCATGGTACTCCTGGTAAACGTTTTAATTCGTTTCAAAGTAGAGAAACAACGTTCACTTTCCGAAGTAGTCATAGGTATTGTGCTTATGATTTTTAAAAGTTTGATTGACTCTGGAAGCACATCTTTGAGGTTGTTGACATAGACAAAGTTGAGTAGTCTTAATGACCCTGTGGCCGTTGAAAAATCATCCCTATTGTAAATAACATTTAACTCCTGTTTCAATTCAGTTTTATTTAGGCTAAATAGTTCCGCAGCAGCGTGTAACTCTTTTTCGGGAAACTTGGTTTTAAACTCCCCAAACAAACTTGGCTGAAACAGTTTTGCCGCGGACAAATGATTTACAAACGTAAAACGGTCATCAATTCCCGACGTAATTATGTCACACACTTCCTTTGCGACGACGCGTTTTTGATCGTCGTGTCTTCTCCGCTTTTTGCTCGATTCGGGTTCACTATCTCTCGGTTGATCTAACATGGTCGAGTTTCTTACGCGATCTACCACAGTTTTGAAATCGCCGACAAACTTAAACGCCTTGACGCAATCAATTGTTGTTTGCTGCAGTTGGTTGTACAGAATGTCACTGTGGGGCAGTATTTGATTGAAAAAGTCCAGCCAGAAAATAAAGTCTTCGTCTTTTAGAATACTTCTTAGGCCAACAGCTTTATTTATTGTGGCATAGTCATTGGTGTCATCGTCGAGTATGTAACTTAAACATTCCTCCAACTCTCTTTGATAATTAAAAATTGTGCTTACAATTCTGGATTTAAAATTCCACCGAGTACCTGAGCTTTTTGGAATACGACGTTTTACTATCTCATCGAGAACTGCAGTTCTCTTTGTTGACTGGGAAAAGAATGATGAAAACCCTTGATATTACTGAAGAATATCTTAACCTGCTTATTTTGTGTAGCACTGCGTTCAATGATTAAGTTTAATTGATGTGCGTAACAGTGGACAAAATTTGCATTCTTATATTTAGATTTTACACGCGCTTGTACTCCCGTGTGTTGGCCACTCATTACGGAAGCCCCATCGTAGCTCTGGGCAATGACTTTATCAGGAGTTTTGTCGAGGTTTAATTGCTCTAATACTTCAAAAATTGTTTCGCTAACTGATTCTGCATCATGGCCTTTTGGTCTAATAAAAGTGATAAATCGCTCGTGAATCGTGCCATTCAGCTCG